ATTTGGCTTCTATACCAGCTCTTGGAATCTCTGAAAAACTCATGTAATAAAAACAAAGAAATAATTAAACAGGGCAGAAATAAAGACATAAAGCATAAGGTCTGCACCCCTTATGCTGCAAGCTCTGCTGATACACAGATAATTTACACATCAGAATCTGTAGGAGTTTGTACACCAGTTTTTTAGCTTCTGAGCAGAATTACTGTACTAATTACTAGGTAAAAATAGAACTAAAATATAATAGGGAAATGAAGGAGAAACCCTATGTTGTACAAGTATTTACCACTGTCTCCTGTAATCTAGTATGCACCTGCAAGAAGGGTATGGGATACAAACTGTACATGCAGCGGAAGATGGAACTTGTTGCACCAGTTATATAATGAACTCTGTATCAACTCCAGAGCTGAATTTGAATACGCATGCCATTATTCAAACTTACTGATGTTTTATGCCATTTTAAGTAGGAGTACTTATGAAATAAGGCACTATTTTTCATCCACACCTGACTCCTTGTCACTTGCCACACAGCTGACTATATCTTTTCTATCGCAGTTTTAGACAAAGCCTATTCATTAGAAGTTATTCTAGTTTTATTGCCTCAAACAGTTAACACTTATTTTTCTCCAGCTTACAGTGTGGTTTTTCAGCATCAAAATTGACAACTGAAATATGTCACACTTAAAGTACAATCCAGGTTCATTAAAAGATTCACAAATTATGTGGCAAACTTTTAACATGCAGCTTGACTGAAATGTAAATGGAAAGCAACAGTATCTTTTAATAGAATGAAAACTGTTTAAGTGAAACGAAACCCATACATAAGTCAATCAGTCTCAGTTACCTGCTTTCCAAGAGTTGAATGTCGACACAGGTGCATGAAGAACTGCGTGCACCATCTTTTGATGAAGAGTTTTAGACACTGTTATAAGTGTATGCACAAGGGGCAAACCTCGGAAGATTCCCATGGCAAGCAGGGTATCTGCCACTCCCACATAGATATAAATGATGTAGTAGCTGCTAGTGTCAGTGACAATCACCGGAGGTTTGTCAGAGGTACTGTTTTCTGACTGGGTTGCATTTGCTTTCAAAGCTGTCCTGCGTGATGGAAATTAAAAAAAAATGCGTTACTGGAAATTGAATTTTTCCTCTTTTATTTTCTCTACTTAACAAGTAGTACTGCAATGTTAATTTGTTTTAAAACTATGTTAATGGTTAGTTATATATAATTCCAGTCATTTTTAAAATATTGTCCCGTATGTATGAAATACAAATTACGAACTACCCCATGTTCCACTAAGGTAAGGTTACTCTGAGTGTGTTCATGGGTCAGGGAAATAAATGGCTTATTGATCTCCTCAGGTATCTTCGGTATGTCAGGCACCTACTGGCATTTGTAGTAATTTCTGATATTACAGAATCACAGAATTGTTGAGGCTGG